CTGTCTCCTTGAGGCCTGGGCTAAGCCTCTGACCTGCCCAGAGGCCTCATGGTGGGTGTTGGCTGCCAGTTGCAGGGCCCCTGGCCACACTGAAGGACTCCTACCTGGAGGTGATGCTGCAGCCCCTAAAGGAGATATGGGAGTGGGCAGAGGAGGCCATGTGGTGGCTGCAGATCTGGGTGCCCGGGATGCCAGGCAACGGGGGTCGCAGGCCCATCAGGATGGCCCTGGGGTCCGGGAAAGGTGCCCTGGAGCTGGTGAGTGAGAGCAAGGATGGGGCGTGGCTGGCAGTTGAGGACAACTGAGACAGCTCTCACTATCTCCTCCCTCTCCAGGTGGCCCACCAGATGCTGTCCTGGGCTGAGGCCATGTTCTCACGGGCACAGAAGAGGCTCTGCAAACCCCTGCTGGACCTGTATGACCTTGTAACCAGGTAACACAGGGCTGGGAGTGGTGCATCCAGCGTTCCTGCCACATATCAGGCACAATGCTGAATGCTTCGACACACTCTGACTCACTGACTCCTCTGTCCGCCCTGCACAGAGGCTTCTTCACTCCCCATTTCACAGAAGAGGAAGCTGGGGTTTCTTCCTCACTCCATAGAGACCTCATGAGCATGGTTCCAGGGCAGGTAGGATTTTAGGAGCTGCTGCGGAGAAGCGCAGTGGGCAAGGCTGACCCCTGCCTTCAGGAAGCTCAGTTTTACTCAGAGACAGACATGAAGCCCAAGAAATCATCTACAGCAGGGTATGCACAGCTCCCTGCAGAAAGCCTGAGAGTCACCTCTCTTAAGCAGGCCATTCCGCTGTGTCACATTTCCTTTTGTTTTGTAATCATCTTTTTTTTTTTTTTTTTTAGATGGATTCTTGCTCTGTAGCCCAGGCTGGAATGCAGTGGTGTGATCTCAGCTCATTGCCACCTATGCCTCCTGAGTTCAAACGATTCTCCTGCCTCAGCCTTCCGAGTTGCTGGGACTACAGGTGTCTACACCATCGCACCTGGCTGTTTTTGAGTTTTTAGTAGAGGCAGGGTTTTATCACTACAGGCTGGTCTCAAACTCCTGACCTTAGGTAATGCACCCCACCCTCTTGGCCTTCCAAAGTGTTGGAATAACAGGCATGAGCCACCACTCCCAGCCTGTTTTGTAATCTTTTAAACACACAAATCCCTTCTTTCTTGCAGGCCATGCGGAAGCCGGCTGTGGGCTGGGTGTGGCCCACTGCTCATCATTTACCACCACCGAGCCGTACCTTAGGTGGCAAATGCTAGAGATGGAACATTGGTGGGATGGTGGGCTGGGAATCCTATGGTGTGGCCATGGTCAGCTTTGAGGAGAAGGTACAGTTCAAGCAACAGCCATGGGGCCAGAGTGGGAAGAGAGTTCCAGGTGGGAGCACCACTGCACAGAGGCAGGGATGTGCCTGGCCTGTTTTTGAGATGGGGTCTCATTCTCTGTCAACCAGGCTGGAGTGCTGTGGTATGATCTCAGCTCACTGCAACCTCTCTCAAATTAAAGTGATTCTCCTGCCTCAGCCTCACAAGTGGCTAGGATTACAGGCATGCGCCACCATACGTGGCTAATGTTTGTATTTTTAGTAGAGTCAGGGTTTCACCATATTACCAGGTGTGTCTCAGGCTCTGGGCTCCAGAGACTTGGCCTCCCAAAGTTCTGGGATTATGGGCAAGAGCCACCATGTCTGGCCTGTTTTAATAGCAAGCTGGTTGGGCTGAAGCAGAATGTGAGCAACGGAGAGTGGATGCAACTGGGAGGGACTGGGAGGTCCCAAGGCTGGAGGGTGGCGGGGAGGACTCTGGCTTCTGCTCTGATCTAGGAAGGACATGATCACCCTTTCACTTCAAAAGGCCCCTTTGGTCCCTGTGTTGAGAACACGGCTGTGGTGGATGGAAGTGGGGAACCAAGTCTAGAGCAGGGGCCTGGGGACCCAGTATCCTTTTCCCTCCCAGGCATAAGGCCCACCAGGAACTGGGCTCCAGGAAGAGAGGCAGCCCCCTTCTTCCATGCTGGTGGCCTCGTAGAGCATCTGGACTCCAGCTCTGCCTCTAACTGGGATTCCTCTGCATTGGCTCTGTGTGCCTCAGTTTCTCCAGCTGTAGAATAGGGACTAGACCCATGTCATGGGGAAAAGGCTCCATGTAATACAAGTTCCTGCTCCTGCTGCCTTGCAGTCAGAATGTAGGCTGAGGAAAGAAAGAGCTCCCAGTGTGGGGCTTTGGCTTGGTTGAAGAATCACCTGCCTGGTTATTCACCTACGTGGGAGTGGGATCTGGTGGGGGTGCCAAAAAATGGATTCAACTGGCAGGGAGGGCATTCAGGCTCTTCTTGCCCCCAGCTGCAGGGCCTCTGGGCTCCCTAGAAGGTAAGTGAGGCCACCTGCCCCTGCACCCCCTCCACTGGCCTATCAACAACAGAGTGAGCAATGTTCCTCATCCCACTCCACCCCTACATGAGCCCAGATCTCCCTGATCATTCAGATCTCACGGGCTTGACCCTACTCTGCATATTGAGAAAGTGCCTGTCCTCCCCTCAACTGTAGACATTTGCTAGACCTGTTGGCTGGGCACAGTGGCTCATGCCTGTAATCCCAGCACTTTGGGCGGATCACTTGAGGTCGGGAGTTCAAGACTAGCCTGGCCAAAACGATGAAACCCTGACTCTACTAAAAATACAAAAATTAGCCGGGCATGGCAGTGAGTGCATGTAGTTCCAGCTACTCTAGAGGCTGAGACAGGAGAATCACTGAAACCCAGGGGGCAGAAGTCGCAGTGTCAAGATAGTACCACTATACTTTAGCCTGCGACACAGAATGAGATTCTATCCCAGAAAACAAATCAAAACAATTTCCTATACCTTCTAGCTCCTGTCCTCTGCAACCCCACACATAGGCCCCATGCTGCCCAGGACCCAGGGGGCAGATCTGGCATGACATCAGACATCTGTGTCCTCAAAATAAGGCAGGTTGTTTCTGTCCTGGCCTCAACCCCACCTCCACTGTCATGCCGGCATCTGTGCTCCTCCACCTCGTTATGGGATTCCCTAAAACAAGGACAGCCCCTCCCCAAGGGGCACCTCCATGCTTTCCATGGCAGAGCTCTTCCTGCAGACCTGTGAGCTCCCCCTCTGCAGCCAAAGGAAGCATGGCTCGGCTGGGCACAGCAACTTGTCCTGTGCGTTCGCTCTAGAAACTACTCAGTGGTGGTGAAGCTGCTGCTGCTCCTGCTGCTGCCTGGGGGTGACATGGCCTGGGTGACTGGCTGCCTGGTGGAGGAGAAGCTGCTGTGGCCACTCTGACAGCTGTCCAGGGCCAATGTGCTGGCCGGGTTCTACCGGCTCAGACGCCGCCTGCTGCAAGGTCCCTGGGAGTGTGAATCCTGCCCCACGCTGTGCCACCCTCCTCCCTGGGAGCCCCCTGCCCCATGGGCACAGCAGCAGGGCCATGCAGGGACAGGTACTGTGGGGGCAGAGGGAAGCCTGCAGAGGCTCATGGCATCACAGTGCCAGGCCCAGAGCTTACTGGACTTGCCAAGGTCCTGTGGGACTAGAGCTGAGGCTACACATCCTGCTTTTGTCCAGAACATAAGGCCTGGCCCAACAGAGGAGTACAGTGGGTGGTTTAGGGCTTCAGGCCAGCTCCCTCCCTGTGGGCTCTGCTGGAGCAGAAGGCAGACCTCCCATTACAGCTGGAAGGGCACTGAGTTCGCAGGTCAGGGGCAATCTGCTGCTGGGATGACCAGCTCTGGGCTCCTGGGGAGCTTGCGTGTGGCTCAAGTGAGCCTGCTAACCTCTGTGGACTTGGATTCCTCCACTGTGAAATGCAGGTAACTATGTGGCTCGCTCACATGGGTAAGAGGCATGTATGGTTCTTAATGCATGAGGGAGCCCCTCCTGTCCGTGGGGGAGCCACTGTTCCCAGGCCTGGCAAAGAGCGGTTTATCTGTGTGCGACTCACATGGAGGCCTAGGGCTCCCTAGAAGCAAGGGTGCAGTCATGTCTAAGCAGCACGTTGATGCTATAGAAAAAAGCCTCATCTTCAAGTTGTGTGTGTGTGTGTGTGTGTGACCATGGGCTTCTCTGTGCCCCTCAGTTCTCATAGCTGACCATGGGACTGGTAGTGCCTCCCAGGGGATGATGGCCCTGGCCAACAGGTGTCTGGCTGTGCAGGATGGATGGTGCTTTCCCACCATGGGCAGGAGCACCCCCAAGGCACAGCTCAGGGGCCGTGCTGGCTGGACTGCTCAGACCTGCTCCTTCACAGGCCATCTCTTCCCTAACCTGAAGAGGGCAGGTCTGCAGGGCACCGCTGTCATGTTTGAGGGAGCTGTTTGCCATCCACTTAATGTCTTTTTCCCCCCAGTAGCTTCCTTGAGATTAAATGGATGACTTTTATGATTTTTTTTTTTTTTTGAGACTAGGTCTCACTCTGTTGTCATGGTTGGAGTGCAGTGGTGTGCTCTTGGCTCACTGCACCCTTGACCTCCTGGGTTCAAGTGATCCTCCTACCTCAGCCCTGCAAAGCACTGGGATGGCTTAGCACCACCGTGCCTGGCCAATTTGTGAATTTTAAATGCACAATTCAGTGGCTTCTAGTTTATTCAGAGTTGTGCATGCCTCACCAAAATCGATTTTAAAACGCTTTTATCATCCTCAAATAAAACCCTGCAGCTGCCAGTCTGCCTGCTGTATCCATGGCTGTGCCTGCTCTGGACATCTGATATAAACAGAGGTATGACTGTGACCTCTGAGCCAGACTTTGTTACTTAGCACAGCAGTTTTGTAGTGGGTCTCAGGACTCGATTCCTCGTTAGGGCTGAATTGGCTGGAGGCATTCAGCTCATGTCATCCTGAAGCTGGTGGGGGATCGCTGGGGCTCTGGCTGCTGCACCAGGGGAGGGGGACTCCTGGCCTCAGGGCAGGCTAAGCCGGGGCTCTAGGCATTGGGGTGCCCAGCAGGCATTGGGCTCCCACTGCGATGGGTGGAGCTGGCTCCACTTACCCTGCCTTTGGGGCTGCTTCTCCCCAGACCATGCCCTGGTGCCCTGGGCCCAGCACGTGGTGACTTTTGACAGCCGGGTGTGAAACCTCAGCATCCAGTGCGGCAGCATCCTCCTGGCCCAAGACTTTGCTCACAACACATTCTCCCTGATGCTGATTCGGACAGGCTTGGGTCTCATGGCCCTGACCGTGGAGCTGAACCATGTGACCCTCATCTTCTACCCCAGCCTGCAGGTGAGAAGGAGAGGCCCGAGCTTCCCCTGGAGACCTGTGCCTGTGGCAGGTTGCCTGGGGGATGGCACTTTCAAGCTTGTCCCCTGGCTGTGGGTCAGCTCTCCTGCCCACCCGCTCTGGTCCACAGGCCTACAGGCTATACAGCTCCTACCTGCTGGGGGAGAGCTGTCCAGACCTCCAGCTGCCACCTGCCCTGACAAGGAGGGACGTCCCCAGGATTGAGCTGGCCAGTGAGGACAAAGTCTGTCTCCTGTGATGTGCCCACCAGCCCCTGCAGCCTGACTCTGGGCCTCTGGCACCATGGTGAGTCTGGGCCCTGGCGGGGTTGGCTCCACCACCAAGAGCCTCTCTGGGATACACCATTCTCAGCTTCCAGTGGGACAGGTCCCCGGGCTGTAGGCAGGGACTGTGGTTGAGATGATGGCACTGAGGCCCAGGGCTTTCTGCCCCCATCCCTGGGATATGTGGCTCCCTGGGATAAGGGTGAAATGGGCCCTTCTCTCGTCCCTCTGCCAAGGAACATAAAGGGTGGGCCTGGATTCTGGCCACTCAAGCTGAGGCCGTGGGGAGGGGATGGGAGGGACACATGCTGTCCTCAGTCCCTGTGCTTTCTCTCCCTCCTTTGATGAGGGTATGGAGCCAGAGCCCTGGGCTCTGGGAGTCTGGGGTGGAAGTGGCAGGATTCTACCTCTTCTCAGTGTGCCTAAGGCTTGTCTCTCATACAGGTCCCCAGGGGGAGGATCACGGGCTCTCAGGACCTCCTCAGCTTCCCTTCTTCCCACAGGTATATCTGCTGGCCTTCTGAGCACCAACAACAAAGAAGTCAGGCAATGAGCTGATGTTGTCAGTTGGCTCTGTGGCCCACAGCCTGGAGAAGCTCATCCTGGCCTGGCAGGTGAGCAGGTGCACCTGCCCTTCCTCCCTCTGGCTGAGGCTCTTGAGGGCTGTTCACTGCAGAGTCCCAGGAGAGGCAGGTGGCCTGCTGGCTCTGCAGCGGTCTTTGTAGACCCAGGGTTGGGGGGAGTCTCCTGCTGAGGCTGATGTATGTGGGGGAGCCACATGGTCCAACGGGAGGCCTGCGTCTTGCGTCTGTCCCACCAGGTGGATGGTGACTGCAAGGCCACCAAGAAGACTCAGCTGACCTGCCCAGGACAGAGCCCTGCCTGCCAGGCCTTCTTCCAGGACCTCCATTCCAGCTTGAGGAACTGCTTCTGGGTGGTGAGTGTGAGCCTGGCCCCTGGAGCACAGAAAACCCTTTCCCCAGTCTACCCTGGGGAGTGGCATGGAGGAGGGGCCTAGGCTAGAGATAGTGACTGGGTGGCCCTGATTTCAGGTGGACCCTGAACCATTCCTCAGCCTGTGTGTGCAGGACCCCTGTGGCACCCAGGAACTCCAGCCTGCTTGCAATCTGGCGGCCACCTACATCCACCTGTGTGCCTGCAACTTCGGATCCCTGGCCCCTCCTCCACAGTGTGGTAAGCTGCCCAAGCCAGCTGGCACTCTGCCCCCTGGCTGGCATCTGCCTTCCAGCTGGAGGGAAAATCCATCTCTCTCTCTTGCTAGGGAGAACAAATAATTGTCATTCAAGGAATTACGAGTCAAAACAAAATATTTATGGCCTATACAGCTTGGATGTGTGTCCCCTCCAAATCTCACGTTTGTTAGAGGGTGTACATCCCTCATGGATGGCTTAGCATCCTGCGTTTGTTGAAGCATGAGTTCTTGCTCTATTAGTTCACCTGAGAGCAATTTGTTTATAAAGAGCCTGGCACCTTCTCTCTCTCTTTGAACCCACTCCCATTTCTGCCATGATCGTAAGCTTCCTGAGGCCTCGCCAGAAGCCAAGCAGATGCTGGAACTGTGCTTGTACAGCCTGTAGAAATGTGAGTCAATTATCTCTCTTATTTATCATCTACTCAGGCTGGAGTGTAGTGGCACAATCTCACCTCAATGCAACTTCCACCTCCCAGGTTCAAGCAATACTCCTGCCTCAGCCTCCCAAAAATGCAGGCAGGTTTTTTGTAGATGGTGTTTTTCCATGTTGGCCAGGCTGGTCATGAATTCCTGACCTCTGGCGATCCACCTGCCTTGGCCTCCCGAAGTGCTGGATGACAGGTTTGAGCCACCGTGCCCAGCCTCACTAGGGATTTGAATGTCCACTCTCGTTTAGGGATAATGCTCAGCCCCTGTTTTCCCTCTGCTCTCATACCGCAAAAATCATCATCAACACAGAAGATGGCTTCTGTGAGCAAATGCGTGGGGGTTTGTCCCCACTACCAGGGTGGACCTCTAATTCAGTTCTAACACTAGCTACCTTGAGATTCTTCAGCCAGTGCTGCATATGTTTGCCACAGCCAAAGCCCCACTAAAAGGGCATAGAAGTCAATGGTAACAAGAGAAGGCTGGGCACGGTGGCTCAAGCCTGTAATCCCAGCACTTTGGGAGGCCGAGGCGGGTGGATCACGAGGTCAAGAGATCGAGACCATCCTGGTCAACACGGTGAAACCCCGTCTCTACTAAAAATACAAAAACATTAGCTGGGCATGGTGGCGCGTGCCTGTAATCCCACCTACGCAGGAAGCTGAGGCAGGAGAATTGCCTGAACCCAGGAGACGGAGGTTGCGGTGAGCCGAGATCGCGCCATTGCACTCCAGCCTGGGTAAGAGAGCGAAACTCCGTCCCAAAAAAAAAAAAAAAAAAAAAAAAAAACAAGAGGATGGACTTCCAAGAGCTTCAGATGCCAGAGTTAGTGGCTGCCATTCACAGACATTTAAAACTTAATGAATTCAACAGCAGAAGAGAAAATTAATCAACTGGAAAATATGACAAAGGGCAGATGACATGAGAGGATCTAACATGTCTCAAAGAAATTCCAGGCTGGGTGTGGTGGCTCATCCCTGTAATCCCAGCACTTTGGGAGGCCAAGATGAGTGGATTACCTAAGGTCACGAGTTTGAGATCAGCCTGGCCAACATGGTGAAACCCCGTCTCTGCTAAAAATATAAAAATTAGCCAGGCATGGTGATGTTTGCCTGTAATTCCAGCTACTTGGGAGGCTGAAGCAGGAGAAACACTTGAACCCAGGAGGTGGAGGTTGCAGTGAGTTGAGATCTTGCCACTGCACTCTATCCTGGTGACAGAGTGAGAATCTGTCTCAAAGAAAAAAAAAAAAAGAAAAAAAAATTCCAGAATAAAAACAGAGACAGGACCCAGGACCCTTTAGAGTCAGGAGGCACAATCCCCAATACAATAAATCCATCCATACCTAGACCCTTCCAAACATAACTACAGAAAAGACAAAGAAAAAGCTACTGAGGATGGTGGAAAGAAGGAAGAACATGTTGACAATTGCTTTCCCACCAGCAGCAACAGAAGACAGTGGAGTAAGAGAAAGTAAGCATGAGGTTAGAGATGATCCCCAGCTCAACTATTACTGAAGGAAATAACCTCAGCACTGATCTGTCTAGAGATCTCTTTACCACAAATGGACACTTACTCAAGGGATATATCCACATGTTCATTTACATATTGTCTTTGTCTGCTCTCCTGCTACAGTGGCAGAGTATTGCCAAGAGAGACCATATTTTTGCTCTCTGAAAGACTTGATTAGAAAGATGGAAAGATAAGCTACAGATTGGAAAAAAATGTTTACAAACCACCTATCAGACCAAGGACTCATCTCTAGAATATATAAAGAACTCAAAGCTCAAAAGTAGGCCAGGTGCAGTGGCTCATGCTTGTATGCTCCTTACACTTTTGGAGGCTGAGGTGAGATGGTTTGAACCCAGGAAGTCAAGGCTACCGTGAGCCATGATTACACTCCTGGCTGCATGACAGAGTGAGACCTTGTCTCACAAAACAAAACCCCCAAAGTAAAAAATGGGAAATAAATGCATGAACAATGTTTGCACACCCAGCCATAGAGAAACAAGGTAGTGCTACATACCTGAGCTCTGGTGAGTTCTGGCATGGGTTGGTGAGTTCCAGGGAGTCTGCAACATAAAGCATTAGTTGAACATCCAAATGGCCAGGTTGTGATTTCAGCATCCACTTATGAGTGTACTAGAGAAGGTAATGTTCTAGTACCAAAAAGGCGATGGCTCTTGAGAATAAAGCTAGGCTTAGAGGCAGGAGTCAAGATCATGGTCTACCAACTAGATCCTCTCAGGAAGCAGCCCTGGACTCATGCAGTGCCAAGACAGGAAGTGGTCTGGCTCAATGGGAACCTTGGAGAATCTGGGAATCAAGCAGAAGCACTCATTGTTCTGACCGTGTAAATACAAAACTGTCAGCTACTATAGCCATCAACAGAACATCTGGCAGGACAAGCAACTCAGAAGATTTCTAGCCACAGGGTAACAATGGACTATTATCTGCTGTTAAGGTCCTCTCCCTTCCTCTTAGGGTTTATTTATTTATTTATGTATTTATTTGAGATGGAGTCTTGCTATGTCACCCAGGCTGGACTGCAGTGGCACGCTCACTGCAACCTCTGCCTCCTGGATTCCAGCAATTATCCTGCCTCAGCCTCCTGAGTAGCTGGGATTACAGTCACGTGCCACCACACCAAGCTAATTTTTTTGTGTTTTTAGTGGAGATAGGGATGCACCATGTTGGCCAGGATGGCCTCAAATGTCAGACCTCATGATCCACGTGCCTCGGCCTCCCAAAATGCTGGGATTACAGGTGGGAGTCACCGTGTCCAGCCTTGTTTATTTATTTTTTAATCCAGGGCTAAATTCTTCCAAATTACAGTTAAATTTTGAAGGACAAATTAAAAGGTGGTTATAAGTTACAACATAATGGCATCTTATGAAATCTCATAAGAAAAAGAGAAAGGAATTAAGACACTTTTCATTATTTTTTTGAGACAGGGTCTTGTTTTTTCCTCCAGGCTGGAGTACAGTGGTACAGCCTCCCAAGTATTTGGGATTACAGGCATCTACCACCACATTTTTGTATTTTTAGTAGAGATGGGTTTTCACCATGTTGGCCAGGCTGGCTTCGAACTCCTGACCTCATGTGATCCTCCCACCTCACACCTGACCAGAGAAATTAAGACATTCTCAGATAAACAAAAGCTGAGAGGGTTCATTACACTGGGACCTACCCTGCAAGAAATGCTAAAGGGAGTCCTTCAAGTCAAAACAAAAGGATGTTAGGTGGACATTTGAAACCACATAGAAAGACCTGTATTATTGTAATTTTGATAGATACCTCTGATTTTAATTATTTTATTGGATTTAAAAGAGATATGTAACCATAAGTCTATGTTAAATATATAATTTATTTTTAAAAAATGAGGCATGGTGGCGTGCACCTGTAGTCTCAGCTATGGGGGATCGCTTGAGTCCAGGGGCTTTAGGTTACAATGAGATATGACTGTGCCACTGCACTCCAGCCTGGGTGACAGAGTGAGATCCTCTCTCTAAAATATAGATACAATTTGTAACATCAACAACATAGGACGGGGTAGAGTTGTCAAGGAGTAGAGTATTTGTATGTGATTGAATTTACTAGTTTAAAAATCGAGTGCCATAACTTCAGGATGTTTTATGTAATCCTCATGGTAATTACAAAGAAAATATCTATAGAATCAAAAGGAAATGAGAAGAAATTCTAAGTGTGTCAAACCAAAAAATCAACACAAAGGAAGGCAGAAGGAAAGAAATGAGAAAACAAACCATAAGCCCTGCAGAAAACAATCCACAGAGTGGCACCGGGAGACCCCGTAAATGGTGTGCTGGAGTCCTCCAAGAGGAACTGCTCACTGAGCCCTTGGCTGTGGGCCTCATGGCACAGTTACCCACTGGGGTAGTGAGTTTCATCAGATGATAGTCTTTAAAAATGCAAATGAATTCTACAATAAAAAAATTGTAAGAGATTTACATATTGGCTGAAAGTGAAAGGATGAAAAAAGATATTCCATGCAAATGGTAACCAGAAAAAAGGAGGAAAAGCTAGGCTAATCTCAGACTAAACAGACTTAAAGTCAAAAGCTGTTTTAAGAGATAATAACAGTCAATTAACCAAAAAGATGTAACAGTTATAAATGTACATGCAACACACCTCAGAGCTCCTAAATACATGAAGCTAACACTGACAGAATGAAAGGAGAAACAGAGAGTTCTACAATAACAGTAGGCGACTTCATCATGACACTTTTTTGAGACAGAATCTGATTCCGTTGCCCAGGCTGGAGTGCAGTGGCATGAGACAGATCACTGCAACCTCCTGGATTCAAGTGATTCCTATGCATCACCTAAGAGTAGCTGGGATTACGGGCGTATGCCACCATGCCCGGCTATTTTTAGTAGAGATGGGGTTTCACCATGTTGGCCAGGCTGGTCTCGAACTCCTGACCTCAAGTGATCCACCTGCCTTGGCCTCCCAAAGTGCTGGGATTACAGGCATAAGCCACTATGCCTGGCCCAATAACTCACTTTCATTAATGGATACAACACCCAGACAGAAGATCAAGAAGGAAGCAGAGGGCCTGAACAATACTATAGATGAACTGGACCTACCAGACATACACGGACGAGTTTGCCCAGCAGCACAATACACATTCTTCAAAGTACATGTGGAATGTTCTCTGGGAAAGATCATATATTAGGCCTCAAAGCAAGATTTAATACACTTTAAATGACTGAAATCATAATAGCAGAAGGAAAACCAGAATATTCACAAATCTATGGGAACTAAACAACCCATACCACAAAACTATGGATCAAAGAAAAATAAGGAAAATTAGAAAGTATTTTGAGACAAAACAATGTATCAAATCTTACCGGATGCAGCAAAAGCAGTGCTATGAGGGAAATTTATAGCTGTACATGCTTACATTAAAGAAAGCTGGCCAGGGGCAGTGGCTTCCACCTGTAATCCCAGCACTTTGGAAGGCTAAGGCAGGCAGATAACCTCATGTCAGGAGTTGAAGAGCAGCCCACCTAACATGGTAAAACCCCCTCTCTACTAAAAACATAAAAATTAGCCAGGCATGGTGGCAAGCCCCTGTAATCTCAGCAGTGTCAAATAAAAGAAAAAGGAAAAGCTCTCAAACCACAATCCTAACTTTGTACCTTAAATTATTAGAAAAAAAAAAAAAGAACAGCCTAAACCCAAAGCTAGGAGAAGGAAGGAAATACAAAAAGTTAGAACAGAAATAAATGAAATAGAAGATGGATAAACAGACCTATAACTACCAAGGCATTACTGATACCAAAGGCAGACAAATCAGCGGAAGAAAACACCACTGTCCCTGATCAATATAGAGGCAAAAGTGCTCAAGGAAATACTAATAAGGAGAATTCAACAGTGTCATAGATGAATTATACAACATGATCAAGTGAGAGTTATTCCTGGAATACAAAGGTGGTTACCATATAAACATCAATGTAAGATACCACATTAACAGAATGAAGGAAAGAAAACCCATGACAATTTGTTTCAATTAGCACAGAAAAAGCATTTAATGAAGTTTAATATCCTTTCATGATTAAAAGCATACTGACTAGAAATTGAAACAAACTCAACATAATAAAGGTCATATGAACAACCTCCAGCTAATATCATTCTCAATGATGAGAGACAAAGCTTTCCAAGATGAGGAATAAAACGATGCCTGCTTTCATAATACTGGAAATTCTAGCCAGAGCTATTAAGAAAAAAAGGAAAAAGAAAAGGCATCCAAATTGGAAAGGAAGAAGTAAAGTTTTCTCTGTTAACAAATGACATGATCTTCTTTGTAGAAAATCCCAAAGACTGCCAAAATAAACTGTTAGAACTAATAATCTGTCCAAGTTTCAGGATTATGAAATCCACATACAAAAGTCAGTTGCATTTCTACACACTAACAGTCAACAATCCAAGAAGGAAGTTAAGAAAACATTTCCTGCTGGCTTGGTTGTGGATGCCTATAGTCTCAGCTACTTGGGAGGCTGAGGCAGGAGGATAGCTTGAGCCTGGGAGGTTAATGCTGTCAGTTTTTATAACGATTATGCCTGTGAATAGCCACTGTACTCCAGCCTAGGCAACAAAGTGAGACACTATTGAAAAAAAAAAAAAATTCAGTTTACAATGGCATCAAAAAAATAAATAAATAAAATAAAATAGGAATAAGCTTGACCAGGAGGCAAAGACATTGGCAGAATTTAAAGTTCCAGAGACTGGTTGTGTAACAAATGTAAAGTCATCTCATATTTATAGATTATAAGGCTTAGTTTCATTAAGATGTCAGTATGACTCAAAGTGATCTACAGGTTTAGTGTAATTTCTCTCAAAATCTCAGTGACATTTTTTCTTCAATTATAGAAAAATCCATCCTTACAAATTGTGTAAAGTTTATATGTAATTTCAAGGGACCCCAAATTACCAAAGAAATCTTGAAAAAGAATAACAAAGTTGGAAGTCTTTTACTTCCGAATTTAATGCTACAGTGGTCAAAAGTGTGGTGTGGCAGTAAAGACATACAGAGAGACCAGTAGAATGGAATGCAGAGTGCAGAAGGAAACCCTTACACATATGGTCAAATGAGTTCAAAAAGGATGCCAAGACTTTTCAATCAGGGAAGGGACAGTCTTTCAACAAATGGTGTGGGAAAACTAGATATTCACAGGCAAAAGAAGTTAAACCCTTACCTTATATCATGTTAAAAAAAAAAAAAAAAAGAAGAAAGAAAAGAAAACTTCAATAATGAATCAAAGACCAAAGTGTAAGATCTAAAATTATACATCTCTTGTTTTTTTGAGACAGAGTCTCACTCTGTCGCCCAGGCTGGAGTGCAGTGGCGTGATCTCAGCTCACTGCAACCTCCAGCTCCCGGGTTCAAGCAACTCTCTGACTCAATCTGCCAAGTAGCTGGGATTACAGGCACCCACCACCACGCCTAGCTAAATTTTGTATTTTTAGTAGAGACAGGGCATCTTGGCCAGGCTGGTCTTGAACTCCTGACCTTGTGATTCATCCACTTCGGCTCCCAACGTGCAGGGATTATAGGCGTAAGCCACCATTCCAAGCCAACAACTCTTAAAACATAGAAGGAGAGCTTCCTTCAGCGGTGATTTCTTGGATATGACACCAAAGGCCCAAACAACAAAAGGAAAAGTAGACAAATTGGATTGCGTTGAAGGATACTATTAACAGAGTGAAAAGACGGCCTACAGAATGACAGGACAGAGGTGAAAATTACATGTGACAGAGTTCCCATCTAGAATACATAAAGCACTCTCACAATGCAACAACAAAAACCCAACTAA